GGATGACACCAATCTGATCAAGGCTTTCGTCATTCTTGTCGAAATTGGAAATGATCCGCCGAAACATTGGCAGAAGAAAATTTCTCAGTTTCTTAGCTTGACGAAGACACTGAAAGAAGGGCGCATTTCTGAAGTACATATTACTACAAATATATATAGCAACCACCTCAGATATTTGCACGCTGATATGAAGACAACGTTTAGCCTCCTGATATTTTTTAACTGGAAATTTCATACTGGATACTGGACCCATTGAACACTGAAACAGATGATAACTTGCAAGTAGCAATTGAAGAAGAGCTTCTGACGATGAAATGTGACTTTGAAATCTAACCATTGTTCAAAAAGCCGTACCAGTCATTCTGGTTGAAAACTGTTGTGCTAGACAAATATCCCTCCCTCCCTGTGGGAAAAAATCAAGTTGTTGTTCATCTCTTTTCCCACCTCCTATCTAGAAGAAAGGGGATTCAGCGCAGTGACAAGGCTGCTGAAGAAGTGGAGCGATTTGCGTCTGCTACTGACCAATCTGAAACCTGATGTTGATAAGTTGGTTCCGTCTTAGCAGGTCCATCCTTCTCATTAGGATAGTGTCAATAACTTATTTGTGCATGCTTACTCCGTAGTTTACCCTTACTTGATATCTCAATGTGTCTTTTCTTTCTTTTTTTTCTTTTTTTCTTCCTTTTAAAAAAAAGCAAAACATTCACTTGTTTAACAGAGTTTTTTTATGTGCACGTGCTACCACTGTTGATGAAACTGATGATGATGATGATGATGATGATGATGATGATGATGATGAGGATGATGATGATGATGATGATGATGATGATGATGATGATGATGATAATGACGATGATGGTGATAATTACAGACTAAGATCCATGCATACTTTTTCTTTCGTGTGGTTTCTCACATTTGAAAAACTTAATAATATTTTTATTTTCTACAATGGAGATATTTGATACAAATCTCAGGCAACTTTATTGCAGCACCTTGATGGGAGAAAACCTAGGCGATCATAAATCAGGCAGCGCAGCCCAAGAACTACACACCTTGCTTGTGGACTGACACACCGGCCGCTCAGGCTTCGGCCCACAGCAAGCAGTGACCTTCGTAATGATAATAATGATTACAACGGACACGGCTAGGCGGTCTCTTTCTCCCCCCCCCCCTCTCTCTCTCTCTCTCTCTCTCTCTCTCTCTCCCTCTCAATCTCTTCCTCCTCTCTCTCTCTCTCCCTCTCTCTCTCTCTCCCTCTCTCCCTCTCAATCTCTCCCCCCCCTCTCTCTCTCCCCCCTCTCTCTCTTTCTCTCTCTCTCTCTCTCTCTCTCTCTCTCTCTCTCTCTCTCTCTCTCTCTCTCTCTCTCTCAATGATATAGCTTCCCTGTGTTTGTGTTCAAACTAACGAACATGTAAAAAATTATTCTAGACAGACAAAAGCGATGGAAAGACAGAAAGTTGACTTGAGTTGAGTTAGAGTTTTACGGAAATGGAGGGCACACACTGATATGTTTTGACACCTTTTCATAGGATAAAATGTTTGGTAAGCTAGCAGTCCATGCCCGACATTCTGTTTCATCCGAAGGAAATCCATACAAGGTCACTTTTTCTGCACCTTTCTGACTGTCATAGCCAGTTTTGCATCCACCAACTGAGCATTTTCTTCCCATTGTTGTTCTTATTCCTTCAGTTTATTTTGAAGGTGTCAGTCACAGTCCAACAGAGTCATAACCACACATGATGAAAGCAAGAAATAGGCCTAGAAGAGAAGCATGTAAGCACTGCGAAAGAACAGCAGATATTAATTATAAAGCAGGTCGGGAAAAACACAAAGGAGCTCCCCCATAATTATGATCCGTATACTTTTCCCTACCTAACAAGGGTGGGCCCCTAGACGCTCAGAGTCTAGATATATAGATTTATATCTACATGGTCCTTTTAGTCTATTGTTTGTGTTACAAACTAATCTAAATCTAAAAGCAGATCTAGGGATAGGATGGAGAGTTCGTTTTTAGTGGTTGTTTGCATAGAGAGGTTCTAAGTCAGTGAAGAGTGTGTGCGGATCAGAAGGGGGGGCCTCCACTGTGTAGACATGGATTTTAGAATGGATTTAGACAGATATGAATTAAACGTGCACGGTCAAAACTTCACTGTAGGTTTAATCTAAACACGTACACTGATGGAAGAGATATTTGATATTCACACAATCCAGATGATTTGGAAAAAAAACAACTGCATTAGGCCTCAACTAAAAGAATCCAGACATTCACTGAGAACGATGGCGATGAAGAATCTGAAAATGAACAGTAGGCCTACAGTGCAACCAAACAGCACTTCAAATTTGCGATCTCAAGACTGTTGGTCAATCTTAATTAATTAATTAATTAGTCACCACTTCTGTTCCTCAACACACACAATGATGTAGAAAATATTCACATAATCCAGATGACTTGAAAAGCAAACTGCATCAGGCAGAAATAATCCAGTGTCAAAGCATGAGAAAACAACAATTCAAACTGACCGCCGCACCCTGCGTAGGCTTATCACTACTAATGATCTACAAGGTTGTGGGCTTACTACACGGGTGTGTCAGCCCACAAGGAATCTAGGTCAGTAGCGCGCAGGTGACCTGATTATATGACCGTCTAGGAGAAAACGTTTCATAAAGATAATGTCAATCTGTTTTCAAACCAACGATCACGGGCGTTTTTATTTATTTATTTATTTTTTTGGCGTTTTGCTTCTGTAAATGTGATAATACACGTTTTATTTTTTTATTGATGTCGTTTAGTACCAATGACAACTATATGCATAAAATGACAGTATTTTGCTCTCAATGCCCTTGCATAAGATTGAAGAAAAATGTGTTTTATTATCTCTCATACACGCTTAATTTAAAACTCTGTAATGATGGTGATTTGTGACTTAACTAATATTCAGAACTAAATCATTAGAATTTAGGTACGTTACCTTCAACCCTGCTGTTTGGGCTCTCTCTTTATTTGTGATTTTTAAATTATATTACGCCTGTCGTTATGTCAGATTGATGGTTGGGGTGGAGTAGAGGGCGCTGGGACTCAGCTGGGTGAAAAAGGGGGCGGTGGGCTCTTTGCTTCAGATGGCGCTGCAGTCTGTTTTGAAGCTCTCTTTCGTTTTTCCAGAAGAAGAATAGGAATAGCACCTCCTTGCGTGCGCAGATCGACTGCTGTTCATCAGCAGTTCGGGTTCGTTCAGTGTGGAGTTTGTTTTTTAAAATTTTAATGACCTCTAGCCTTTCATTCTAAAGTCAAATCAAACGAAAAAAACAATCACCCTTTCCTCTGGAAGATGTTTTTTGTCAGCGTAACCATTTTTAAAAAAACGTTCTTCCGAAATTCATTCAAAAACTTGCTAGTTTCACTTTGATTTTTTAAACTCAAGTAGGACAACTCTGTTCGCAAAAGGTGCGCTTTTGTGAAGAGGGCGCCACCAAATTTTGAGGACACTTTTTTAATTGGCTCAAAGAGAGAAGTGGCCCCTCTTGTTATGTAGACTCTTTGACTTTAGTTAAAGTTAGATCTATACTTTCCGTTCTGAATGGTTTCTGAAAACACTAACACAAAGCAAAGAAGCATAGATGTCAGTCAGTACTACAGTATGTAATACCAATATCAGTGAGACTAAACTCTTTGGTAGAACATGACAATTATCAATTTTTTATTTCACATTTGGCTGTTTTTGTCTTGCGTTTCGCAGAGAGGAGCCGGTGTCATAATCGAGGTCACGATCTGATTATAGGACGGTAATAAGTCGAGGAAAAAAAGCAAGCACTGGAAGCAGTTAATATATTAATAGGAGTTAGTTCCCCTCACATCTGTGAGGTAGACTCGACCAGAGTAATAGTTCGCTTACATAATCAGTGCTAGTGACTGATCATAACTGTGGCCCGAAAGGGATGAACAGGGTATTTGTGGCAATGTTTTGACTGTTGCACACATGTTCCCTTCAACAATTTTGGTAGACTCTTCCAACCTCACTGTAAGCTTACATAATCAAAGCTTGAGACTCCTTATGGAGTGACACGATAGGGGTGAACAGGCAATGAAACCGGTTTGAATGTTAGGCACACTGTTCATTGGTGATTTTGAGCGTCTTTTTTTTACATTTAATTGGTGAGGTTTACGTATATGGGTGGATTTGACTGCGGCAATGTTTCAAAATTAGGAGGGGAAGCAGGGATTATTTGATTATATAGACGCTTCGCCACTGCAAGGCATAGCTATTGTCTCTTACAGGCCATGTTACATTTGCCAATTGCATATGAACGAATCCAATTGCTTGCAGAAAAAAGCATGAGCATCTTAGTTTAGATATTTTTAGAAGTTGCTTCTTCGTGTTATGTAGCCGATGTCTCTTTTTCTTTTTTTTAACTTTGACTTTGGGCATTTGCTGATGTCTGAAGAATTTCTGTGCCGTCGTTATATTTCATTCTCTGACTGTTTAATGTCCTTGTTAGAATCCTGATTCGTCCAGATTGCTGTTCTTATAAGCGCGACGGAATGAATTGTTGTATACCTACATTTTCTGGCGTACGTTTCTGGTCAAAACGAAAACAATCAATCACAGACTAGGCAAATATGGAGGCATTTGAAGCAGAAATTCATGACAATCACAAAACTTTTCTTCTTTGTATATTTGTATAAAGACAATACATGTACCATACGCGCTTTTTCTCCCAGTGATGGTTCTGTGCCAGAGCACACTTTTCGCCGCTTTGCATTGCGCCATAGTACAAATTGATACAAATATTACCAACAACCTGCCCAATACCTTGTAACTCTACCACAGACAAAGATATTATGTTAAAAGCAGAATGTTTACATTTTCCGAGTGATAAGCGAACGGCAATGACAAGACAAATATTACACAGCATTTAGAATTAAGCTTGTTTGTTATAAACGACGGAGAGAGACGCTGTATAGTCGGTCACCATCCCCTAGTTGTCATGCAAGAAGGCCGAATCACTGATCCTTCACTTTAGGCTCGTTGAAGAGAATTGGCAGAGTGAGTCCAGCATCTATGATGTTGCGATCCCCAGTGGTCAGTTTTGCAGCATCTGACGCGTAGAACGCAATTATCTCAGCCACGTCTTCAGACTCTCCATAAATGCCCTAGGGGAGCGTAGGCAGCGACGGTAGTGAGGAGCTGAGATGGGGGCACGAAAGAAATGGTGAGAAAAAGGTTGAATTTACGAGAAAAATATTGAAAAAGTGAATACACGAATACCTCAAGCACTGCCTCACCTGAGACCATATAAACTGTTTGGTCAGATTATACAGCAAGTCTGGCACCGAAAGAGTTGATAACATTGATCTTGCTTTATTAACTGACCCCCCCCCCTTCCTCCCCTCCTTTCCCTCCCCTGCCCCAAACTTAAATCTTGTATCAATTTGTCTTAATCATATATAAGGAAATGGTTCTGGCCCTAGTATTAATCATCAATGTTTTGCATTTGTCTTTGCTATGAACAAAATAATTTATTGTGTCTAAAAATGTGATTGCTTTTAGCGTGACTCGTATCAGGTCGGCATACATTTTTTAAAAAGGGAACAGCCAGAAGATATTATTCTAGATTAGCTACGGTTCAAAAGATATCATCCGAGTATCTACAACAATTGATTTAGGGGTGGATAAACTACATGGATTTGCTGCTTCAATAACACTGGTGTGGCACTGAAGAAAATGGCTAACCAGGTTAAAGAAAACGCTTTTAGTGAGATGTATGCATTTCTTATAAATGAGCAAAAAGGACCTCAACACAGAGAAGGAGATCCATCCGCTGCTACCAAAAAAAGGAGAATTTGGACACAATGTAAACAGGGATAAGTTGTTCCGGATGGAAAAAAGAAAAGGATGGCCTCAGATTGTTTGAGTACTGAAAGAGAGCCTGCTTTCATTCTGGAAAGGGGGCTTTTTAGTTTGAAAATATCCTCCCACGGCGGGGACTCAAACCAAACTTTAGTACAAAAAGAGCTTCAGGAAGTAGGAAAATGAAAGTAAAGGAGCAAAATTCTAAGATAGATTTATTTACAGCTGGGTAGATCAAATCACACCAGGGAGAGTAGAACATTTAACTAATCAATATGTTTAACATTTAAATTGCGCCCACGATCTCGTTTCTCTCAACGTATGTCTTGCAGGATGATGAATGTTCTTCAAGAGTTGCTTAGGCCACAATTACATCCGAGACTTCTGATATTTCTATCCCGTCGATACTCTCCGCGACAAGATTTGCTTGGTCAAGAGATTTGAGCTTCAGTGCTCAACAATGCGTGGTAGTACACAACTATCCTAAGCAATCTCAGACACAAAATAAATGGGCCAGGAAGTTTCCAGCTGAGTGACATGTAGCTGACAATGGTGCTGCCCAGTGATATCATCAGGCCTCTTCGTGTGCAGTTGCCGCGAAATTGACAGCTCTCGTTGTGGAAATGACCCCTAAACAGGCAATTAATTTGGTCCTACATATTACAGTGGAATCCTGTTATAACGAGAGGGAGGGGACCGGTGCGAAATGACCGTTATAGCAGGATTCTCGTTATTAGGGATCCAGTTATAAATTCAAGGGAAATAGTAAAGTAGAGCTGGGCCTAATCTATGAGTTAAGTGTTCTGTTTATTCCTTTTTGTATTTCCCCTGATGATGATTTTGTCCAACATGATCTCTAGGTCTTACTACTCTTACTTGATCAAAAATCAAATCAGGTTTTTTCTCTAGCACTAGCAATGTTGACAAATCGGCTTTGGCGATCAGAAAGAAGGGGCTCTGGCTCTAGGCTAACTTGCCCGCTGTGTTATTCCCCACCCCACCACACCCTGTGGTGCGTTGCGTCTGCTTGTGCACGTCACGCATTCGCTCCATCTATCATAGCATCATTGTGACCTCTCAATCCCGTACCAGAGAAGTGAGAGGCACGGTATGCCTAGATAATCTAAACTGGGCTGGCCTGTCACACGATGCGTTCTGCTTGTCTGCGCATGCCACACCCTCCCCACTGTTGGTTCGCGTGGGCTCTCCCGTTTTTTGTTTCGTTGGATCACCAATTTTCTCAAATGGCGAGGTTTTATAAGTTTAATTGGTCTGTGTGCTGTGCACAGCATCAGCATTATTCCGCTATAACCGATTCGCGTGACTGTCTGATTGCGCAATAGCAGTATTTTATTTACCAAGATAAAGAAGGGAAAAAACGGGGTTTTAGAATAGGGTCTTTATAGCAGACTTCTCGTTGTTTCAGGACTCGTTATAAGTGGACTCAACTGTATCATTACTGCAAAAACATACTTTTTTTTCCTGCTGTCTGACAATGATAATATTGCCATGAACTGGGGTGACTAAGACATGTACCTGGAAAAAATGTTATGATGATTTTAAGATTATTTCTTTCGATATCAAAGGTGATTTTACCCATATGAGCAGTAAATTTGTGGTGTATTTACATAAACATAGCTCAGCAGCAACAACTTTAGCTGATCTGAGGTTTGTTTTTAAGATGGCTACTGCCTGCATTTGAAATCGACCTCTGCAAGATCTCTTTAAATTTTCATAAAATGATATTTAAAATCTAGTAACTAATCTACTTGGTCGCTCTCGATCGAGAAGTGACACTTTAATTTTTAAAAGATGTATGTTGGGCTCCTAGATAGTCTGATGAGCCATAAAATGTGTGTATTTTAAAGATAATATTATGTTGAGTAAGATTTTGACAGAGGGTGCCTAGTTACCCCGGTGTCCATTGACATGGTCGGGGTAAGTCACCCTAGACTCAAAAAATGATATTTGGAGAATGTTCATTCCTACTTGCAACTTTGCAAACATATATCCTCCTTTTTTCACAGGGTTACTACTACTACTACTACTACTACTACTACTACTACTACG